AAAAACAGCTTGATGCAGTGATGGGGAAACAGTAGGGTGGGTATTCTGGAAGGATGATATCAGATGGACCAAAGAGTATCTATTAGAATGGCGAAACAGGCTCAAGGGGCTCAATGGCCTACTCCTTTTCCTACGTTTCTTTGTCTTTTTCATCTTGTGATCTTGTGAGTACTTTGTCTTATTCTTTATACATGGGCTAAACATAACATGTCAATGGATTGCAATATCAAGTGGAGCACAAAGAGGTACAAGTCAGCTGTTCACATTGGGTTGCATTGTTGGAGGTACTGGCCAAGATATAATTGGTCATTCACTTCATGGCTGTTTGTGGAACATTGTTCTGCATAAATTGGTTGATGCATTTGCCTATGAATGCACAGTCACTATATTTTAAAGTGAAAAACCTGGGAAGTGTGTTGAGATGTTTCAACAACGTAATAAGGCGCTATATCAAATGCAAAAATTATTATTATTGCATCTATGAAGTATGGACACAACAAACTATAAAATAAAATACTCCCACAGGTGATGAAAGCCACTGATCTTATTGAATCATTTTATATATATAATAATAATATATAATAATAATCCTTGCATTTGATATAGGGCCTATCACATCTTCTAGACTCTCAAAGTGCTTCACAGTAAATGAATTGACTGTAGGTTTTGTGGGCGAAATGTGGCAGTTTCACTGTAAAGGGAATTGACTCTATGTTTTGTGGGCAGCCAATTATGCACAGCAGTGACCCACAAACATTTTGATGATATCAACTGCCAAAGCAAATTTCAGAAACAGTCATCTGCAGCCTAGAAATTGCTCAATTTTTGGCCAGGATTTTTCTTTTAATTTCCTTTCCTCCGGTCCTTTCTGAAAGACAGTAACTTATCCTTATGTTCTTTAGCAATATTCCCTCTTACAGAAATCACTCTTCATTGAGCCCTGCTGGAACGTGTACTTCTGGAGACATCAGGATCAAACTAAACTAATGATGACCCTACATAAATAGTTTTTCCGGTACTCACTGCCCAGACTGTCACATAAGAAGCAGCTTTGCAAGAGGTAGTGGAGCCTTACCATGGTTGTGGAACTATACCTCAGCATGAGACACTGCCTGCAGGAGAGGAAGTGAGAATAAAGGACAAAAAGAAAATTGTAAGGCCTCCAGCTTGAAATAGTTTTAGTCTTTCAGAACCCATACCATGCATTTACAAGTAAAATCAAACTTCCCAACTCATGTTGAACTTAATTACCAAAAATCTATGTCCCCGACCATCATGACTTTATACCAGTATTGCTTTATAACAGAAAGTTACAAACATATTGCCATGGTGGGGTGGGGGTCAGAAGTTCAGCTAGGTACTCCATACAGGTACTCTGAGACCAGCACAAAAAATGGCATAGCTGTGCTGGCCCAAGACTGCCATAAACAGAACAATCCCAATTCTCAGACAGTTCTGAAAATTATAGCGGCTGGAGGGTAAAGAAACATCAGCAACCTGCAGCCACAGAGCCATCTGCTAGCCCTGAGAAGCACCCCTCCCACATGGGACAATTCAGAGCCCTATGGCAGGGTGGAGAAAGTGGAAGGGTCTAGAAGAGGAGTTATAGCCACATGTAAACGGCAGTTTAGTTTGAAGCCAAGTTCATTCTGGCTGAGGTACAAGTAATGAATGACCTGTGTATGATCCTTACCTCCAGAACACCAAGGTGGCTGGTACTTTACAAGCTGCCTTGCCTTGGTCCTCCCACTTCGCTGAAGGTAAATGTCCATCAAATAGTTGATGAGGAAACTTTGAGGCTTGGGACGAGGCTTGGGAAGTCACCACCTGGAAACCTAGTTCATGGCCACACATTCACATATCCAGGGCTTGCTTTCCATTTTGACTGATATGCAGAGAGCTAAGCAACTGCTGCTGAAGCTTTTGCACCTCCAACTGGTGGAGCCATTGCTCGATGGGAAGCGATGTGTACCCAAGTGTGGGCAGAAAGATGACGGCAGCCCTGACATGCATTTCATGCTGAGCTGTACTTCTCACTGGGGAGCTTGCAGTGAGTTCCTGGTACCTGTTATCCATCTAGTGAGGGTTCAAACATAAGTTTATTGAATGTCAAATGACCAACCAGTTGACTATCTCCAAGGTAACATGCTTGTCAATGGATTGTTGGAATCATGACAATCCTCTGTGGCGGTCTTGGTCGTCCAATTCCTGAGCCAGGTAGACCTGCAGAACTTCAGAGATCTGATGATGATAGGCCAGTCTGGCTCGTTGGCAGGATTTGAAGGGACAGACTTGTCAGTGGGAGCAGGGATTCTTCCCACTCTGCTCCAGTTAACCTTGCAAGCCAAAGTCAAAATAGCTAGAGTGCTCTTAACTCGACAAGCAGCAAAAAGGATGCCAGAAAGTGATTTTTCATGGCAAGTTATGGGGTTTTAGTTGGTTAAACCTCAGCAGTACCAGAACACACACACTGGGGTCCCCATGCCTTTGCTCTTGCCAACCTGCACCTGATTCTCTACAGAATTAAGAAAGCAGGATAGTCCCTCCAGAGAGAGAGAGAGTGCATTCCATTCCAGGCACAGAGAATTTCCAAGGTGTAGGTTACAGATATATATGGAACTCTCAGTCTGGTTTGGATACTATTCAGCATAGTTTCCACGTGTGCCAGATACCTGTCTGACCAAAATAAATTGCTCTCTCACTCATGCTTGTTTTGAAGTATTCTACCCCTGCTCTGAGGGAACTCTGTCCTGGAGCCCATCTGCCTTAACCCCCTTTCTCCCTGCCTTCAAAACCCATCTTATGATATTTTCAATCTTCTCAACCACATCTTTGATCACCTTTCTCTCCACTCCTCACCCTTCCTCAACCTTCTTCCCCCATGCCCTCCTCCCCAATCAGCTATGTGGAGAGCTTTGAGAGGACCTCCAGCTGCAAAAGGAGCTGAATAAATGTAAATCGATGCTGTTGTTTCTGCATAATGTGTATTCCTGTATAATGTACACAGTTGCTGCGTTCCTGTATCAAAACAGCTGTTCGTAATAAAAGCAGAACATACTTAAATTAGACTTCAGGTCGATCAACGTTTGAAAAGTGTTGCATTTGACCTTCCATTGGAACTGTTAACTGCCAACCTATTCGTTATCCTTCAGGTGCTGTACGTTTCCAGCATTTTAGAGTTTTGTTTCAGGTTGTTTTTTTAAAAAAAGAAAAGAAGTACCAGCGTTTATCTTATCTGCAGATTAGTTACGTTTCCTTGTGAGTGCGCAATTGTAACTTGGCAACCTGGTGTGTGAGCATTCAGGTGCTGTACATGAGTGGGAGTCCTGGAGCTCAGTGGTTAGAGCACTCGCTTTGCAAGTGAGAGACCTGAGTTCAATTCCAGGCAGAGGGCGAAACCTTGGGCAAGTTTCCTTACTCCACACAGAGCCTAATAATAATCCCTCCAAAACCCAAAACAATAATAAATTGGTCATATTCAATCTACGACTGTTCGTGGGACATTGCTGTGTGCAATTGGCTGCCGCGTTCGCCCACAAACATACAGTCAATTCACTTTACAGTGTGTTCTGTGAAGCGCTTTGGGACGTCCTCCCGACGTGAAAAGCGCTATATCAAATGCGAGGATTATTATTATTATTATTATTACTAAACGACAATCAGTCATTGGAGGCACTTTGCAAGAGGGAGTTTTCATGCAGATCCGAAATTCAGACAGGAGGTCAAATTCCTGCTGTGTTGGGACACTCCATCAGAAATGCCTTCCGCTGTGGTAGGAAATAATCTTGTTGGGGGGTATTGGTTTTTTTTCGCCCCCCAATGAAGCGCGACTCTCCCGAGAGAGCGCCAAACGCGGAGGAACTTTAAACCCGTTCCAGGGATCCTGTCCCGGGTTTTCTCTCCTCCGGGGCTGTCCCGGATTGGAGGGGGTTCGCCGCTGTGGCCAATAACCTGACGGGAACCGGAATGTAAACGTTGGCGTTCGTGAAAGCTCGAGATCATTGGGGAGAGAGTCGGGAGAGGAGTTCGCCTTCTCCAGTCCCGGAGCTCAGTCAGTCAGTCAGTCCAGTCAGTCAGACAGTCAGTCTCCGGCACCACTCCGCTCAGTACTTCCTTTGCCCTTCATCTGACTCACCCCCAAAAGAGGGTCTCCAGTGCTTCTTTGCACTGAAACGCTTCGAGACCCCTTTCCAAGAGCAAAGCAAAGCAAAGCAAAGCCAACCGTGTGGAGCATCGAAGCCAACGGAGTGAATGTGATCGCTGTTGATCCCCGGGGTGGGGTGGGGTGGGGGTGGGGGGGTCCGGGGGAAGGGGGTAACTTCGCTGCGATATTTCTCCATCTCCCTTCTCTGCTCCTCATGCCGACTTGGACCGAGGTAAGTGCACGCACCCATTCCCGCTCGTTTCGCCTCCCGACGCCTCTTTTCCCGATGGCTGTGTATGTTCGGGTAACTCCGGAGGGTTGAAGGAGGTGATCGGGTTCTGATCACATCGTCGTGGTGGTCGTGGTCGTGGTCGTGGTGGGGGGGTTCGTATCCACATCACAGCAGAGAATGTGGTGTGTCAGTCTCCTGAGGGGGGGGTTTGATGCCACCGAGTGGGCACTGATCCCGGGATCTGTTGCTCCCAGTTGTCTGCGGTGGGGAACACGTTATTTAAAACTTGTCGCAACTTCGAAAGGATGGATTTTTTTTGGGGTGTTTGGTTCGACTGCATTTCGGAACACGTGGAATCTCAGATGAAGAATTCTTGAGTTGCTCCACGTTATTAGTGTCCGCAGTTAGTGTGTGTTTTTTTTTCCGGGTGGTGGGTGGGATGGGATGGGATGGGATGGGATGGGATGACTTTGGGGAGTAATTGACCTGTTTAAGCCCAACACGATTTGAAAAGGATTTTTGCAAAGAGGTGTTTGCACTAATTTCTTAAGTCTGAAGCCTGTGGTGGTGGTGGTGTGTGTGTGTGTGTGGGGGGGGGGTGGGGGGGGGGGTGTGGGGGGGTGGGGGGTGGGGGTCTCTCAGGGTTTGGCTGTTTGCCTGCACCAGACTCCAGATGTGTGAGCTCAGCTGTTGCCTCTCACTTGAATGACAACTGGTCTTTTCCATTTTCTGCAGCAAAGTGTCAATGTTGCAATCCCTCTGTGCCCTGTGATCATCACTGCAATTCTTAGCCATTGCCATGAGACGGTCCAGGCAGGTCCAGCAATCCTCTCTGCCCTCACACACAAACATCTGTCTCAAGTCTGATTTGCCTTTCTATTTCAGTGACAAGCGAGTAGGAATATAGTATTTGGAATTAAGCAGTCGTCTTGACCTGGAGTAACAGGCTGATGCTCCCTGAATTAAAAGAAGTCTGAAAAGGTGATGCAATAATTGTCAAACCCTTTCTCTCTAACACTGTTTACTCCCACCAGGGGATTGTTAACTTAGGAACAGTGACCATTTATTTATCAAGCCGTCTGTCCCGAGCTTCAATTCAGCATGATCTCTTTTCAGTTCAGTGTCCAGGACTGGGTTTGGGTGAGAAATCTGTCATTGTACCAGAGCCGGGTGGGCAGTGTAAATCAAAATGTTATGTTTGTGCTTAAGGTTTTAAGATCAGTGTGAAATCCTGGTTTCTTTGAACAAATATGTTTCGACAAGATACTTCCAATTCCAGTTACATTTTCTTCTTGTGTTTCTCAATGCAAATACCATGAGGAAAGAAAGATAAATGTAATTTTACTGCAGTAATAATAATAATAATAATCTTTGCATTTGATACAGTGCTTTTCATGTCTGCTAGACATCTCAAAGCGCTTCATAGGATATATTGTAAAATTAATTAACTGTATACTTTGTGGGTGAAACGTGGCAGCCAATTGCGCACAGCAGTGTCCCACAAACAGCTGTGAATTGAGTGACCAAATCATTATTGTGCTTTTTTCCTTGAGGGGTTATTATCAGGCGTGTGGAGTAAGGAAACTTGCCCAGATTTTGCCCTGCTGGGAACTGAACCCAGGTTTCTCGCTTGCGAGGCGAGTGCTCTAAACACTGAGCTACAGGACTCCTTAGTTCAATACAGTAGTTTGAATTGACAGCAAAAGATTCTACTTTCTATTTAAGGGAGATATACTATCAAAAAGGCCTGAAGGATTAATTTCACATTCTGACAGTGCATTAATCGTTGCAGCAGCATCATTTGGTATTTTGAACTGATGGCTGACAACAATCACAAAGACAAACAGAAAGTCGAGGCTTCCATAAAGAATCAAGACAGATCCGTCAATACCCAGCAAGCATATAGGTCTTGTATTAAATGCCAACATGCTAAAACAGCCCTTTTAGAATAATAATGATCCATGCATTTGATATGGTGCCTTACCACGTCCTCGAGACGTCTCAAAGCGCTTCACAGAATATACTGTAAAGTGAATTGACTGTATCTTTTGTACAAGATAATTCTGGCTAAGAAAAACCTCCAAAGTATCTCGAATGAAAATATTGCTTCAAGTCAGCCTTGGAATCAATGAGGCTTTTATTAAAATTATGCAGTTTCTGTTTCAGCATATTATGTTTTTCAAAGAGTGTTTCGAGTGATAAGAATGTCCAATTCCAAGGATTCTTTGACAATATTAATGCTTTTAAAATGTAAAAAGTGTAATATCTTTAGTTTGTTTTGCGAATTTGCTTCCTTTTTTGTTCTGCTGATTCATATTGGTGCAAGGATTCTCGCCCAAGTGACCATTAGTCTAATGCAAATGCAATGATTATTATTATTAGTCACTGTGAGCCCAGACAGTAAAGATCAGGCAATTGGATTGTTGGGGGATGAGAAAGAGAACCTGGTCCTACTTTAATAAATTTCCTCTCCCTCATTCAGGATATTGTGACTAATTGTAGCACCTCAACTACTGTCACAAATGAGATCAATTAAATCAGCATAGTTTGAGATCGGTCAGCTTTGATTCCTGTCTGTGCTGAGTCAGCTGAAATCAGCACGGCCAACAAAGGAGGCGCTACAATTGGTTTCAGTGCCAAGGAGGAGAAAAATCCCTTGAACTCCTGATTGCTTACCAGTTCTCCTGCTGTAGTGTCTTTGTGTGAGGAATTTCAGATGAGGACAGCATAAGTTTACTGCCAAGCCCCTCATGGCCTGCTTATCCTCACTGTCTGGGCTTACAAATTAAATACCACAAGGGCAGTTTGGAAATGTACCCCAGTGTCTCAAAGAAAAAAAGAAAGAGGACAGATAGTTTTAAAAAGAGATATGGATGAGTACTACTTGCAGTGTATGAGGTTAATTCTGTAATTAAATTTATGGACGGGTAATTACAATTTTTCTAATAAAAAATATCTGATAAGACAAAACCCCTCTTTCAAGTAAAAAATGACAAATGGATCCCTCTGCAATGTCTGCACTAATGATCACTGCTGGTAATGTAGAGATGTTGGAGAGTAAATCATTTTATAATCAAGTGTTCTCAAAGAAACAATTTATCTTCATAACGAACAGTCTGTCAGAAGTTTCCTTAGGTCAACTTGGCACATTTCTGCATAAAATTTAACTTGTCAAGTGAAAAGACATTACAGGGTTAATAAATAAACTGTTCCAATTAATGGCAGCTGTTGGGGAAAGTGCAAAAGAGTTTAATTCTCCAGACTATCTCAAAGGGCAGTTGAGCAAAGAGGAGACAAGGATATATTGATCTGTTGTAGGATGCATCCTGAAAAAAAGAATAGTGAAAGCATATTCAGCGTTCTCCAGTCCAGACTAATTTTCCATCTGTATTTTTGTGGAAGAGTAAATTAAATCAAATCGGGATTTAACAGCAAAAACAATTAACAAGATGTTGCACAAAACATGTTCCTCGCATGCCTAAGGTTAAAACTTTCCATCCATGGTATTTTATTATTTAACAATAATGCTAGAGGAATATATGTTTTTAATCTGTTGTAAAATGTATGATATAAAAACAACTTTCTGAATATTGTTTGAATTAATCATCCCTGGAGATATTTTTTGGCTAGAGTGTTCAATCTGTTGTGCATATAAAAATATGGAATGCTTTCATGCAAAATCAAACATTGCAAAGTTAGAATTTCTCCAATTCCTGCATTGAACTGCAGCTCAGATGTCAACCAAATTGAAACCAAGTGTGGCCATTCTGGTTATGTACAACAATCATATGCACAGCATGCGTTGGGTATTTAAAGGGACTGCATTAAAAGAAACACTGCACGTGGTGCAACCTCTTTCACGTCACCTGCTTATAAATGACAGCTGGGAAAATACACAGAAGATGGACGCAGCTTTCAAAATGCACTCGTCACTATTTCATTCAACTCATTCTACTGTTAACTTCAACCGTGTTCGACAATCCGTTCTTTAAGCTTAGTGGCCGATGTATTGTATTGAACTTGTATTGAATAATAATTGGGCAGTTGAGAATGCGCTTAAAGGTTGGTGTGAAGCTGGCTCTGATTTGAAAATTTGGAAACATGCTGAAAGAAGTGTCAGCTCCACAAAGTATTAATTTCAAGAGGATGTCCTTTTTATGATTCCCCCCCCCCCCCCCCCCCCCGATCAAATGTCATTTTCTGCTTTGGTCCAAACTGTCATCTCTCCCCCTTTTATAAAGCAGTGCTGTAGATTTGACCTTCAACAGATCTGAAAGCTGAAAGAGGAGATTGGAGAAAACCATGTAAAATGCAAATGCTTCACATGGCCATGGTTACTTATCTTTGCTTTTGGAGCTGTGACAGAAACCCAGCTTTAACATTAACCATTCTGCATGTGTCTGTCTTGCATGTCGCAGATTAAATTGACTGGAAATTGAATGATTTACCCGACTCCTAGCTGGTTTGCATTCCTTACTTTTAACAACTGGCTGCAAAGCAACAAAAAAAATTTGATGGGGGTGGGGGTCATGCTTTGTGCCATGTTCTTTGCTTGAGCACACAAAACCTAACAAAAGATTGTACAGGACAATGGGTAACTGCAGGCAGAGCAGAGGAATAAAAAAATGTTAGATATACAGTATTTACATGAGCGCGACACACTTTACTGCTTCACCGACCAGCCAGTCAATCAATTTTATGGACTGAGATGCAACCTAATGTATTTGTGAAGTTGACTTGATCTTAAGCATGACTATCAGTCTGGAGGCTGAATTGAAATGGAAAATAGTTTTAATTCGGAAACTAATTGGGAAGGAAGTTTTGGGGTAATCATAACATGCTTCAGGGTATTTTTGTTTATCAATAATTCTTGAACAATTGAATAAAGAAAGTGACACTTTCTTCCTACACAACAGAATTGGGAGTCACAGTCTATGTTTAGAACAAGATGAATGCTTTACCTGGCAGCTGCTACCTTTTCTTTACCGTTTTAAAGCTTTTTGTAGATGTGCAGAGTTTCTGTAGCCTGAGGGTATAAAAATAAATCAGGTTTAAAATTGTCAGGGAAAATGCGATACTGATGGCCACATCTCTTACTGAAGGGGTTGCCTGGAAAGGGCCCCAGGATCTAAAGGCAGCCATGTCTACGCCTTAATCACCAAGCACACCAAAAAAGCACAAAGCCTTTTTAAATTGTTACAAATTGTTTTGTCACCCCCGCACCTTGTTGGACAATAACCCAGACTTACTTGGCACTCAATGTAGATTATGGATCTGTAAGTCACTGTTGTGCAGAAATGGGATTCTGTTGTTTCAGTTGCTTTAGCATTTATGTGTCGCAGTCTTGTCTCACAAATCATGTCTAGTTTGCTGATTTACAGCACCTGGAGGGGTAGGCTCTCCCACGTCTGGTCCAGTGTCTGACCATAAGTGCTTTTTTTTGTAGTTTTTGGCAAAGGATTGTAAATCTGATGATATCAGCCTCCAATACAAAATTTCTCAATGTGGAACAGTTTTATTCTGGACCTATCTTCTTATCTTGAGACCCAAGTCCCTCCACTAGTAATTATAATTTTTGACTTTGCTTAACATTTATTCATAATGTTTCCAATTAGATGAATTATTGGCAATGCCAAGACAAGCGTGCGCCAGAAAAAATTTCCGAATGCTTGCCAAGAACGAGACTGGACATTTCACTTGATGTAAATGAGGCTATTTAGTTTCATGTGACTTTCTAATCCTTGCTCGACTCTGACTGTTCTCATCTTTCAAGTGGTTGCAATTACATTGGATTTTTTAAAAAAAATTCCAGCCACTTGAAAAATAGCTTTTAATTGTACAAGAAAATTCTCAACTTGTCTGTGATTAGTCCAGTGGGAAATTTTCGTTCAAACAAGTTTTCTAGACATTACTAATGGAAAAAAACAAAGTAAATTTCTCCACAATCATCACACAGGGTCTGAGCTGTTTCTAAGTTACCT